GGTAAACCACCAGCCCTCCCCAGAGCCCTTCCTACAAACTTTGTTCCCGTTTCCCTTTCTTACTAATTGGCTTCAGCTACGCGATGCTGCTTGGACTAGAGAGGCGTGCTGGAGAGAAAGACTATCACCACCACCACCTTAGCCAAGGAGCCACAAGAGAAAAAGCTGGGATAAAGACGGGATGGATGGGTGCTAATTAAAGGGCTCAGGTGCAGCCTCCGCTCTGAGGGCATGGGTCAGCGGACCCAGAGAACAGCCACGAACGCCAAGGAAAACCTAGAACAGGCATAAGACTAAAAATAGCAGGGAAACCGAGGAGAAGGAAGTGTTTGTAACTTCTGCTGTTGGTCAAGCTGTACATGCAGCTGTTTTGGTTGCTAAAATGGAAGGCCGCGGACGGATGAAAAGCTGGCTCTGAGGGCAGCCACAACCGGTCTCTGCGTTTGATGGGTAGATGAGAAAAGCCCCCAGAGGGAATGTTCCAGCCGCCGAGTGTATTGAAGTTGGCTAAAGTTTTAAAGGGCCAGGCGAAGGACTCACTTCTGGACAGCCGTGTCCCATGAGCAGATGCAAGGCATTCCCTGCTGCGGTGAGAGGCAGATTTTGACTTTGTACTTGGGCAGGAGGATCAGAGGACTGCCGTGCTGGAAGGGATCCCAGCTGTATTATAATGAAAAGAACAGAAGGCTGGGAGATGGAGTGAGTGCGGCTCTGCCACATTTTACCGAGATGGCAGAGCTTGTTACTAAATGTCTTTGAGCTTCGGTCTTTCCCTCTGTGAAAACGCAATCAACCTAGATGGGAAATTCAACCTTTGTTTAAATAAAACACAGAACCCTGGAGGCCTTAGTGGAGAAAAACAATAAAAGAAGAGTCTGAAGGCTGGGAGGACTGGCCACGCTAGGGAGTCTGACTAGCCTTGAATAGCAGGGGGTCTCTGAGCTGCCACCACCTGCTCTGACACTGGGATCAAGATGGCAAAAGGCTCTGATGTGCGAGGCAGAGAGGAAGGCTTTGAAAGTTCTCTTTACCAGCAGGAGACAGTGAGCACAGGCGTTGTAAAGCATCCCCATAAGCTGCCCAGTGTGGCTAGTGCACGTGGGGAAAGTCCTTAGGATGATGATATAATGCTCCCTTTGTAGATATTAAAGAAGCAAAAATGATATTTGAGGCCATTATTTACTTTAAAAGGATCTGCCAAAAAACCCAAACGTTTTTCAAATAAAGAACCAAATTAGGAAAAGTGGGATCCTAGAAAGGCCAAATCAAAACTTTGGAACAAGCCACAAGAAGAATGAACAGCCTGGGGTGAAGTGATGTCCTAGTGTGTGGAAGACAACAGATGCTCTGGGGACAAAGTTCATGAGGTCAATCCCATCTGTATTGGTAAGAATTCTCCAGAGAAACAGAACCAATAGGATATGTAGAAGGAGATTTATTATGGGAATTGGCTCACATGATTATAGAGGCTAAGAAGCCTTTTGCGAGCTGGAGCCAAGGAAAGCTGGTGGTATAGACTGAAGGCCAGAAAACCAGGAGAGCGGTGTAAGTCCTGGTCTGAGTCTGAAGGCCTGAGGACCAGGAGTTCCGATGTCTAAGGACAGGAGAAGATGGATGTGCCATCTCAAACAAAGAGCAAATTGGTTCCTCCTCTGTCTTTTTGTTCTATTTAGGCTATCAATGGATTGGATGATGCCCACTGGCATTGGTGAGGGCAAGCTTCTTCTTCACTCAGTTCACGAATTCAAATGCTAATCTCCTCCTGAAACATCTTCACAGACACATCCAGAAATAATGTTTTAACAGCTATCCGGGCATCCCACAGAAAACGAACCATCACCCCATCTGAGAACACCCATCGTTGTTTGAAAGTATACTCAGTCCAGCCTTGTAGTGTATTTGCCAGAAATTCTGACAGGTAGCCTTGAGCCCTCAGATACACAGTTAAACAGGCTGGCATTAAGACCCTGTGAGAAGACAATAAGGCTGATGGGTTCACTTTACATGGTTCTATAGATGCTGAGCATTCAATTTCAACACACTGAATCCTCCTCTCCTGACCTCAAGCACATCATTTCTTTTTAATTTTAATAAAATATATTTCTATCAATTTCAGAGAGGAAGGGAGAGGGAGAGAGAGATAGAAACTCAATGATGAGTATCATTGATCGGCTGCCTCCTGCACGCCCCACACTGGGGATCGAGCCGCAACCCGGGCATGTGGCCTGACTGGGAATCAAACCTTGACCTCTTGGTTCATAGGTCGACGCTCAACTACTGAGCCATGCCGGCCAGTCTCTAGCACATCATTTCTAGACAGATACTGAACTCAAAATGTTAGAAACCTAACTATTATCTTCCCGCTCCACCTGAGTTCCCTATCCTGATTGGTTAGGCCACAAACCTCCCCTCTTCCTCACACCCAAAATGATCATGTTGAAGTCACTGCTGACATTCCTATCAATTATCCATTTCCCCTGCCATCATACCTCTCAGAGCCTGCTTGTCTCCCCAATGCGCACTATACACAGACACCAGAATGATCTTCCTAAACACAGATGTTAGTGCCCTGCTCAAAAATTTAACAGCTTCTCTCTTACCACAGAATCAAGACCAAACTCCTCCTCAGTATAACATACAAGACTCCAGTCTGGCCCAATCTCTATTCTCTTGGCCTCTCTCTTCTACTCTAGAATGCGAAGGTCCAGCCACAGCAGAATACCTGCTCTTTCAGGAACATGTGACACTCTGCTTATTTACTCAGTGTCCCTTCAGCCTCAAATGCTCTTTTTTTTAAGTGTCTACCATGTGCAGGCAGTTTTTAAGTGTTGAGATTATAAAACAGACAAGGTCCCTGTTCTCATGGTGCCTACACCTCCCACTCATCTGTCTCAAACCTGTATCTTGACTGAAATTCTCTCCAATTCCATACATGAGAATTAAGTTCTTGTATAATTCTCCTAGAGTATTTAACACTCTTTATCTTGTGCAACATCTGTGTACAAATGTGTCTTTCAGCCTGGACTATAAACTTTTCGAAGTAGGAACCAAGTAGTCATTTATTTTTGCATTATATACAGAGCCTCACACGTGGAGACTTAATGTTTCTTGAATTATACCATGTCTATCCCAACCTGTTTCCATTTATAGTTAAAAAACAACAACAAACCCACACAAACAAACAAACAAAAAACGGTGGAGCTTTGCCAACTTTAAAGAAATGTGAGTCCTTTTTTTGGAGGGAGGTATAGATTTAAAATTATTGTGGGAAAATGTAAGCACTCCTTAAGAAATTGTCACCTGGAAGCTATGGCTTCTAGAGGGCAGACTTCAAGCTCAGTCACCAGATGGCTTCCCACCTTGGAGCAAAGGTCTCATTTCTGTAAACATTAGCACTGCCATTAGTCAACCTCTAAGCAGTGGTTCTCAACCTTCCTAATGCCGAGACCCTTTAATACAGTTCCTCATGTTGTGGTGACCCCCAATTTCATTGTTACAAATTGAACATAATTAAAGCATAGTGATTAATCACAAAAACAATATGTAATTATATATGTGTTTTCCGATGGTCTTAGGCAACCCCTGTGAAAAGGTCGTTCAACCCCCAAAGGTCGCGACCCACAGGTTGAGAACAGCTGCTCTAAAGGGACCCTGGAGACGATGATGAAGAGTCACGCCAATCAGCACTGCCAAAGGCAGAAGAGCATCTACCGAAAAATAACCTGGAAGCAGCTTCTAATGGCCCCTCCCACAGATAGAGGAGAGAGCAACACTAGTTACCATTTTAAAAGTCAGGATTAGAAATGAGATTTAAAATCTGATATGCATGGATGGCCCTAGCCAGGTGGCTCAGTTGGTTGGAGCATCATCCTGAAGTGCCAGGGTTTGGGTTCAATCCCTGGTCAGGGCACACACAAAAATCAACCAATGAATGCATAAATAAGTGGAACAACAATTCGATGTCTCTTTCTCTCTAAAGGGGGGAAGGGGGAGAGAGGGAAAAAATCAAATTAAGCATGGGAAAAAGATCTCTTTATAGTAAAGACATTTATGCAAACCATGACCTTGAACTGAATCCTGGTTTGGACAAATAAAATGTAAAGAACATCTTGGGAACAAATAAAAATTTTGAATATGGACTGGATATTAGACGATACTAGGGGATTATTAATTTTTGTTGGGTACAGTACATAGAAAAATGTTCTATTTTTCATAGATATAAAGTTTAGTATGGGTGAAATATTACAATGTCTATTATTTTCTTTAAAATACTTTAGTATAGCCTGGCAGTGTGGCTCAGTGGTTGAGCATCAACCTATGAACCAGGAGATCATAGTTCAATTCCTGGTCAGGGCACATGCCTGGGTTTCAGGCTTGATCCCAGTGGGGGACATACAGGAGGCAACAAATGATTCTCTCATTATTGATGTTTCTAACTCTTTCTCCCTCTTCCTTCCTCTCTGAAATCAATAAAATAAAAAAAAATAAAAAAATAAAATACTTCAGTATAAATGGTCTGGGTTATAAAGCCAACCAACCAGTTACTGAAAGAAAATATGACATTTCAGAGAATAACTACTTTCTAGTCTTCATGGCTACTTTATCAGTGGACAGTCTTATTTAGATAAGGCGGGTCAGTCTTCACCATGGTGACTGATGCTCCCACCAGCATGAAAGCCTTGGGAGCCCCACTCAGGGGAGCCAGGCATTAGAAGGCACATGGAGAGGGGTCTCTTCTGAAGGGCCTTCCTCTCCTATTGTTATTATTAAAGTGAAGAGAGAAGGATCGGCTTACTACTCACTGAAGACATCAGGAGATATTCCTGGTGACATAACGGACATCATCTTGGCTCTGGTTTAGGAATACCTTCTTTGACTAGAACCACAAATAAATTTTAGGCTTTGCAGCTAATCTGAAAACTAAAAATTTGACTTTGTTTACTGAAATTTTGTTTCTGCTTCCTTTACACCAGCCCAGAAGGCAAGGAGGAAAACAATTGTCCAGCATAAAAATTTTACCAAAAATTTATTAACACAGTCATATTCTTGGGATATATGAGTCCTTAAAACACTGCCTCACACTAAAGACACTGAAAGTGCTCATGTACTTGGCCCTCCGTCTGGTTCCATGGAGCCAGGTTTGCTGTGCCCATCAGGTCCACATCCCCGTGTGGGAACGGGTTCCCCTCAGTCCGATGCAGACGGTGACACTCAGTGCCTCTGAAAGGGCAGGAGCTCCTTCCGATTAAACCAAACAGAGAAAGACTTGGCATCCGCTGATCCAAGGAGATGCAGGCTTTATTTTTCAACGTCACTCATTCCACTTCTCTCCAGGAAGGGCTGGGATAGCTTCAGGATGAGCATAAGGATTCCCACTGCCGGAATATCCGGAATACTTTCCTTGATTTCTCAGACAGACTCTATAGGTAGAAAAGCTCATTATTAGAGACTAAACTTTTTTCACAGAGATGAAGGATACATACAGCATTAGGCTTGGTCTGTACATTTCTCCAACAATGATCTAGACATAGCCAAGATTGAGTAAAACAAGTTAACTTTATATAGTGCTATACATAATATATACCTAAAGCCAGAATAAAAGTCAAGAAGCTTGTGTTCTATTGTTAAATTCTTGCTATCGCACTCTAAGTTTCTAAAATACGGCTCATGTTTTCTCTCCAAATATCTGTATTTGTCCTAATCTTTCTATGTGAGGATGACACTTCTGACCCACCGGAGTGCAGCACACATTTTGCTCTGGTTTCTTATCTGTGATGCTGAATTGGTCCTAGTTCATTATTTCTTGTGAACAAGGACTCACATTTACGTGATGCCCAGCTGGAGTTAATAATATAATCCAAGGCCAAGGAATAAAACAAAGTTAAATGACCATTAAGAGTTTAAACTATAACCTTGGTCTTCTCAGCTTCATGTTTTAGCCAGCAGAGCTAATAATAGGAAGAGTCTCATTGCCACTTGATCCTGCCTATGAAGTGATCTGAGATTCTGAGAAATGGTGTTACAGGGAGACAAAACAATTCCCTAAAAGATAAAATAGTTCTCAGTGATTTGGAACACTTGGTTCTCTCTGCCTTTGAGTCACAAGCAGTGAGAGCACAAACAATATCCAACAAGATAATCCATAAAGTCACCCCCTGATTTCTGACATAATGACACGCTCACTGTTTTCTTATCTCTTTGTGCATGAGTGTCTCAATAAAAGAAAGTCGCAGGAGGGAAAAGTTTGAGCTCTTACTAGAGACTGAGAGCAATTTAGTTAATAAAGTGACAAAGTTGAAACAAGCAAGTTGAAGAACAGTGTAAACTTTTTCCAACATCAAGATCCCTTACCACAGCCTCATTAAGCTTTGTATTTCCCAGCCACAGCAGCTGTGGGGAGGTTAAAAGACAAGCTGCCAAAAAGGATTTCAAAAGTCCTGGAACCCAGAGCCAATTATGAGGCCAACTTTTCCCACTACCAAAAAAAAAAAAGAAAAAAGGGTCCTGTGGGATTTCTTGTTAGTCTGAAGTGAGGGAGGAAGTTAATAAAAACTGGCAGTACATTATTTCATGAAGCTCTAGGCAGAGAGAATTTATGTGCAAAGATAGATCTAATCTTTCCAATTTGAGAGGTAGGTCAAATATTTATTCTTCAGATAGCTTTATATATTTTCAAGTTTTTAAGTTGGAAAATGCAGATTTTTTTTCCTGCAAAGACTTGGAAAAATCTTCATCTGTACATTTACTAAGGGTACAAATGTACATCCTTGGGCTTTTAGCATCACTATAGCTCCTTCCAGTGGAATCCTGTGACCCTACAGAACCATGTCTGGAAATGCTTCTTGTAAACATCTGTCGAGTATTATTTTACTTTGTCTTTGGAGGGAACAGAGGTCAGAAATTATCATATTTATACCAGGCAGGCTACAAGGCAACTTAGGGAATGAGCCAGCAAAGAAAAGAGAACCCAGTTGTCATGGTTCCTTAATGGCCACCTCTTACCACTTCCAGCCTTTGCACAGAGCAAACACCTGCCTTGTCTTCTCAGCTGTCATGACGGACTGGCGCTTCCCCGTCCTGTGACTGGCAGCAGTCATGACTGCGATGGCTAGCTGAGGTTCAGTGCACAAGTCTGGGGCCGTGTCTCAGGCCAAAGTAACCAAAGTAACCTGCCCACTGTGAGGAATGAAACTGCAGTCTTGGTGCCAGAGCACAGTGCTCTAGGCAGCTAAGTTAACGGGCCAGGCTCCAAATGCCAGTGACAGCAACGGATGGAAAAAGCAGCTGTTCTGCAACATGAGGCTGGAGCAGCTGCCTAGGCATCTATTTCTATTTCTCTACTCCTCTTCCCTTTGAGACATTTTAGTTGAGAAGACAAAAAGAATTTCTCAGAACCTGCTAGAATGCCATATTCTAAAGTGCAGAAAGATCGAACCGGTTCCATGCCTATTCTCCAGGATGAAACCAGACGGAGTCTAACTGGACTTACGAAAGCTGAGGGCAGGCAGGGTGCTAATTATAGGACTAGCTCTGCTCCTCAACCATAAACGGCGAGTGCCTCACACACTCCAGACATCGGCTCATCTCACCAGGGCATCTGTTTCAGTTGGCTGGTTAGACTGCTTATGGGCCAGAAGGATGTTCAGCACTGCCTTCCAGCCTGGCTCTGCCAGGGTGCTGGCATCGTCCTCAGTTCCACCATTCTCCCTGGTTTCCTTGCCAGGTGTGATCTTCACCCAAGGGCACCAGTCTCTATGTTGAGAGGTGGGATCAAAGAAGCTTCGTGAAGACGTGTCCTGACGGAGGACAAGGAGAACAGTGTTAATGAACGGTAGTGCTACGTAAATTCAGAGGCACTATTAGTTGTCTGGTCTGTTCCTCTACCTCACTGCTGTCCTACCCCTGACATATTTATTACCTCTCCAGAATCCATCCCAAAGAAACAAATGACAAAACCCTTCAATGTTTTCCCTTTGGTCACCCATCTTTAAACTTATTCACACGGTTAACCTTTAGCTACAGGATGAGCACACACCTGCTTCTCTGTGCAGTGGGTAAGGGTGTGGCATGCTCTTTGTGCTCAGTGGTTCCATATGCACAGGTGGACTCACCGAGCTGCTGGACGAGCAGAAGCGGGCTCGTTTGGCTCTCCGAAGAGGACTGGATGGCACTTCCAGGCCAGAGGTGTCTCCTGTTCCCATGCTCCGGGTCACTGGGCGGGTCCTGGTGGTGGGGCTAGCGGCTTCTGGCTCAGGGCGGTCAACAGGACTGGAAGAGTCCCAGCTCCGAGTTCGAGAGAAGATGGGTCCTGGGCTCCTTTCAGCCTGAGGAAGGGGAGATGATAATGGAAATACACCAATGTTCTTAGTGACTATGGTCAGGAGAAATACTTCTAGAAGCATGTGAAAGTACTTTAGAGTTTAAATGATAAGAATTTAGTTTCTGCCGAACCGGTTTGGCTCAGTGGATAGAGCGTCGGCCTGCGGACTGAAGGGTCCCGGGTTCGATTCCGGTCAAGGGCATGTATCTGGGTTGTGGGCACATCCCCAGTAGGGGGCGTGCAGGAGGCAGCTGATCGATGTTTCTCTCTCATCGATGTTTCTAACTCTCTGTCCCTCTCCCTTCTTCTCTGTAAAAAATCAATAAAATATTAAAAAAAAAAGAATTTAGTTTCTGAGAATATTAGATTTCTATACAAAACAATGAATCTAGCTTTTCCATTGCCACTGGTAAATAAAACCACTATGTGGTATCAATGTGGTTAGAACTGACTCCTAAGTGAACTCCCAACTTTTCCACCAACAACATTTTTGGCAAGAATGCTGTTTTTATTTTTTAAATTTTATTTATTGATTTGAGAGAGGGGAAGGGAGAGAAGGCAAGCGGGGGGAAGGGAGAAGGGAGAGAGAGAAATAGGGAGAGTGGGAGAGAGAGAGAGAGAGAGAGAGAGAGAGAGAGAGAGAGACCCTGATTTGTTGTTTCATTTATTTATGCATTCATTGGTTCATTTTTGCATATGCCCTAACTGGAGATTGAACCTGTAACCTTGGTGTATCAGGACGACGCTCTAACCAACTGAGCTATCTGGCCAGGGCCAAGAATGCTGTTTTTAAAAAGTTCACCCCAAACAAGCCAATTAAGTCTATACCTGCTCTGAACTTGGGGAAGACGAGGCATCCTGGCTCCGAGTCATCATCCTCCGAGGAGACTCGGGCACCAAGAGGAAGCGCTCCGGCCGCCCCTCAGGGCCAGAGGGGGAGCTGGTCAGGACAAAGGATGTGTCCAGGTCGATCACGGATGACTCAATCTGCTGGAAGCCCCAGAGCCCCACTTTCCTCATACAATGTGAACACGTTATCAGGGAGAGCTGCATGGGTTCCAAGGAAGAACTAGGTAGGAACAGAAAAGAGAGTTTTCTCAAAGGGTAATATTTCCAAGGGACTAGGTGTAATATTTGCAAGTATGCTTCATCTCATCCAACAAATCTCTGAAACAGTCCAGTGACTGGGGACACGTCTTCTCCAGGGCCCCAGTCCTCTATCTCAGGACCCCCAAGGTCATCATCTGTCATTTATTTCCTATAAAAATACCTAGTCTTGGTGTGCTCTTCTACGGCAAGACTTTTAAAAGTTATGTTTTATAAACTTCTCTATCCCTCTTAAAACTTTTCCCTTTTAAATGAAAATGATTCCTTCATCTACCAAAAAAAGCATATTAAAATAAATCAAGATTGGTTCCGACAGTCTTCTACCTCAGAGGGAGTGTACGCCAAATTGAGCAGCTAGAATGGAAACACCAACATGGGGGCCTAGAAGGCTCCAGCTGGTGTTTCCTTGGCTAGTTTTTATCAACTGAACTCATTTTTCTTCCTTTCTGAAAGTAGAAAGGAGCTTCATTGTTTATAGGAACACAAATTCCCAGCTGGGAAGTGACAGTGAAAGAAACAAAGTTCAGGTATGTTCAAAAATTTCTGAGTTCTAATTCTGGTTAACTGTCCCCTCATACCCCCACCTCTTCAGTTTCTCTCTGTCTCTACTTCCCTTATAGGAAACACCATGTGATCTCCAAATACTATTAGTGACTGAAGTATATGGGTGTATGATGCCCCCCGGCCAAATCTGCTGACTAACCTACATGCTACCCAGCCACACACAGAGAGAATACAGGCAGTGACGTGGACTTGGATATCTGAGCCTAATTTGGTGGCAGTTTTTCTCTCATCAGTTCCGTGGTCAAGTTCATCTTCAAGTAGGTGCAGGAGAAGACTGATCTTATCTTCTGTAAAGCACTACAAAGGAACCAAAAAAAGGTTCAAGTTTTAGTCAAAATTATACATAATAATACACCTAGATAATTCAAGGCAGAAATCATGACAGAAATGACAAACACAAGACAGTTCTCTTCATTGGAGAGGCTGTCCTGGGACCGCGCTACGTGACGGCAGCACACGGAAGCTTCTGAATTGCCCCAGATCTGCTGATTGAGAAGGTGGCAGTTTTCCTGGAACCACCAAATCTTTTCATACTACCAATTTGTTTTCAGTTTACCAACTGCACATTTTCTCTGAAACCTGTAAACTTCACATCCAAATAATGAAAAAAGGTCACTGTTTATATCTTGGCCTGACAATGGATTTACTTTTTGACAGAACAACAGACCTTGCCACAGTTTTTAAAGAACGATGACAGGATGGAAAAAAATTGCCGTGGGCCCTGGCTGGGTGGCTCAGTTGATTGGAGTATTGTCCCATACACCAAAAGGTTGCAGGTTCGAATCCCAGTCAGGGCACATATATAGGTTGTGGATTTGATCCCTGGTCGGGGCACATGCGGGAGGCAACCAATTGATAGTTCTCTCTCACATCATTTCTCTCTCTCCCTCTCTCTCAAAATCAATTTTTAAAAAAACCCATATCCTCGGATGAGGATTAAAAAAAATTACCTTGGCTAGGGACAGGGTGAAATTTGTAATAGGCATCAGAAGTTTGATGCTAAAATCCGTAACTACCTCATTGTGAAGAAGCAAAATAATAGCTTCTAGTTGCTACAATGAAGCTTGTTTTCAAAGTACTTACCAGGTGAGGAAATGAGGCAGTAAACACTCAAAGTACAGACGGGCCAGAACATTTCAAGATTTCTATTCACAAGAGAGGAGGGAGTTTATAACTTTCTCCTCTAGCACTTTCTTTGGGAAATGATAGTCAATAAACCATATGAAATAACATTTCAGTATCTTCTGTTAAATAGTTTAAGTAACAAATTAGGATAAAATTGAATTTATGCCACTCAAAGAATCATATCTAAAAGTTTAAATGGAACCCATTTACTTAAACACTTAATAGTCACCTTTCTTTCTTTTTTAAAAAATATTTTTTAATTGATTTTAGAGAGAGGAAGGGAGAAGGATAGAGAGATAGAAACATGTGTGAAAGAGAAAGAGTAATCGGCTGCCCATGGCACGCCCCACACTGGGAATTGAGCCCGCAGCCCGTACATGTGCCCTGACCAGGAATCGAACCTGTGACCTCTTGGTTCATGGGTTGACAACCACTGAGAAACACGGGCCAGGCTCAATAGTCACCTTTCTGATGAAAACTGAAAAAGGACAATTGAGTGACAAGCCAGTGGTTCTCTTCAAAGCAATCTGCGTCCTCTTGTCATTAAAAGAAATGCTTCATATATACATGCTGGTGACAACTGAGGCCACGGAAGGCTAGTCAAGAAAAACTCACCATAGTTTTCAAGTCCTCTGGCTTCAGGGAAGGAAGCTGAAGGTCCAAGTGACAAAGGCTTTGAAACCGATCTAGGAATTCACTAACAAGAACAGCAGGCTCATCCAATGGCAACATCCCAAATCGATCTGCGAGAAAAGTAAATTGGAGGATTATATTGGTGCAAATTATAAAAGAAAAAAAAAAAGTATAACACTGTGAGGAGCCCCAGCTGGGTGGCTCAGTTGGCTAGAGCATCGACTTGTAAACCAAAAAAATTGTGGGTTCGATTCCCGGTTGGGGCACATATCTAGGTTGCAAATTCGATTCCTGGTCAGGGTGGTTACAGGAGGCAACTGATCCATGTTTCTCTCACTCCCTCTCTCCTTTCCTCTCTCTTAAATCAATAAAAACATATCCTTGGGTGAGGATTAAAAACAAACAGACAAAAAAACCACATGGGATATGTAAAACTGATAAGATATTTTATGATATAACAATTATTGATTTTTTTAAAAATATGTCCTTATTGATTTTAGAAAGAGGGGGAGAAACACCTGGCTGCCTCCCGCACACCCCCTACTGGATTGAGCCCACAACTCTGACCAGGAATCGAACCGACGACCTTTGGGTGCACGGGAAGACGCTCAACCATCTGAGCCACACCAGCCAGGGCTATTGATTTTTTTTTTTTAATGGAGTGGTGACGATACTTCTGTGAGTATGTTTAAAAAGTAGAGTCTCAGGAAAGGTTTCTCAGAAGCAGTCAAGTTTAAGCTGAATTTGAAAGACCAACAATAGTGTGTTAAAGCAACGGATCAAGAATGGCACATTTGGGGAATTCTAAGTAGTTTCACAGTGTTGGAACACAGTATGCCTATGGGGAGAGTAGCAGGAGATAAAGTTCATGTAGACAGCGGCCAGACCATGACTTCATTAATGTATGTGAGGAGAAATTACTGAATCCCTGGCCTGGTAACTCGGTTGGTTAGAGCATTGGTCCAACACGCCAAGGTTGCAGGTTCGATCCCCAGTCAGGGCACATACAAGAATCAACCAATGAATGCATAAATAAGTGGTCAAACAAATAGATGTTCTCTCTCTCTAAAATCAAGAAAAATTAAAAAAATAAGAAATTACTGAAAGATTTTTTTTTTTTTTTTTTTAATATATTTTATTGATTTTTTACAGAGAGGAAGGGAGAGAGATAGAGAGCTAGAAACATCAATGAGAGAGAAACATCGACCAGCTGCCTCCTGCACATCTCCCACTGGGGATATGCCCGCAACCAAGGCACATGCCCTTGACCGGAATCGAACCCGGGACCCCTCAGTCCGAAGGCCGACGCTCTATCCACTGAGCCAAACCGGTCTCGGCGTGAAAGATTTTTTTAAAGAAGAAAGTGATGTTATAGATAACACGCATTAGTTTGGAGTAGAGATTGTAAGGGGTCTTTGGATGCAAAGAAATAAGCTTAGCAGACATCAAGGTGATATAAAGTAATAATTCCTGTAAGATACCAGTGGCATAAGGATAGAGAAAAGAGAATCAGTATTTTAAAACTCTAAATGATGAAACCTCATTTAAAAAATAATTGAAAACCTCATTATTGTGGGTACAATAATATATAGCATTAAATTGGGAAAATGAACATAAACTCATGATGTTAAGTAGAATTCTAGAAGCAACAGTTTCATGAGTGTACAAACTTGTCAAAACTTATCAAATTGTATACCTAAATATGGGCAGTTTTATGTCAATTATACCACAACATGCTGTTTAAAAAAAAAAATCTTTTTCAGTTTTGTTATTAAAAGGGGCCCCAAAAATAGTAACGGTAGCATTTTTGTCCACCAGTTAGTCTATCAATAGCAACCAAATTTTGGTCTCTAATATTATTAAATTATTTAAAGTTGTTGCAAGTAACCAAATATGTCAAAACACATTACATCACTTTAAAATGATGCAAAAATTTAATTTTTCAATTAGAGTTAATATTCCATATTATTTTGTATTAGTTTCAGGTGTACAGCATATGGTTAAACAATCATATACTTTACAAAGTGTTGTCATTTTCACTTTAAAATATTATTTAATAATTTATTTCCTATCACCTCTCCATTTATCAGCAGATGGCACTCTAGTCACCTTCTATATATTTTTTTTTCTTTGTGGTCACTCGTGGAATATTCCTAGTCATCAGTGACCCTGAAATGAGCCTCAGCTATCCTACTAAAATTAAAAAATATATCTACATTTCACTGATTCCTGGTCAAGGATGAAATATATGGATTAACAGTGTTGCTCTGTAACCATTGGTCCAAAGAGTTTTGTACCCAGAGGGCTCTGCAGCTAAGGCTGGTTATATAACCAGCAAAATACATATATGTAAAAAAATTACACTTGAGATCTCATTTTGGGATCTCTTGTTCTACAGTGTTTTGCACCCATATCAGTGGTTCCTGATTCGAAAGAGTGTATCCTACCATGGCCCTTATACAGCGAGAACAGTGGTCCAGACCACTGTGGGCAGTCTTTGGCTGTGATGACATTCTTACTTCAATGCTGTTGTTAGATTGTGCCATTTTACTGTAATAAACTGTAGATTTGCAATCACTCTTATTTGGGGTTCTGTGAGTCTTCTTTAGCAACCAAACTACCATCATTAGGGCTGTTAGTGCACCAAAGGAAGCCAAGGTAGAACACGGGGCTCCTTGTTATCACAGGAAGGGCAGAGGGTTTGAAAGTAGATAACCCTAGTTATGGCTCCTCACTAGTTGGTTTTAAGACTTCTGATTCTCAGTTTCCTCACCTAAAAACTGGGTTGAACCTGGGGGGGTGGTAAGATCTGGAAAGAGAGGGGTAAAGGGGGGAGGAAATGGGATATAGCTACAATATTCTCAACAATAAAACATATCTACACTAATAAAAGAGAAACATGGTAATTGGCGTACGACCGCTACCCTTCCCATTGGCTAATCAGCATATCCTTATGCAAATTAACTGTCAGCCAAGATGGCGGCCGGCAGCCAGGCAGCTGGAAGCGAACATGAGGCTTGCTTGCTCCAGTGACTGCAGACTCCAACGTTCCCCGCCTGCCTTGCCGGCCTCTGAGCCGGCAGTTTGAAACATTCTAACAAATATAGAAGCTAAACAAACGGCCCAGATCTCAGAGCTGGAGTTATACATTGTTTCAATTATAGAACGCTCAGCAGCGGAAGCCTCAGAGCTAGAGCCAGAGCTAAAGCTGGCCCAGAATAAAATAAAAAAAAAAGAGAAAAAAAAGGAGCCGTTTGGGAGCTTCAGTCAACAACCGCCAGCCTGAAAGCAGACCTCAGCCCCTCACCCAGACTGGCCAGGCACCCCAGTGGGGACCCCCACCCTGAAGGGTGTGTGACCAGCTGCAAACAGCCATCATCCCCTCATCCAGGCTGGCCAGGCACCCCAGTGGGGACCCCCACCCTGATCCAGAACACCCTTCAGGGCAAACCAGCCGGCCCCCAGGCCTCTATCCTATATAGTAAAAGGGTAATATGCCTCCCAGCACCGGGATCAGCGGAGCCTCGAGGCCTCCTGGCACCGGATCAGCGTGACAGGGGGCAGCACCCAAACCCCCTGATCGCCCTGCAGCTCTGTGTGTGACAGGGGGCGGGGCCACAACCTCCCTATCTGCCCTGCTCTGTTCGTGACAGGGGAAGGCGCCCCAACCCCCTGATCAGCCCTGCTCTGTGCCTGATAGGGGGGAGTTCCCCAAACCCCCTGATCGCCCTGCGGCTCTGTGTGTGACAGGGGGTGGGGCCACAACCTCCCTATCCACCTTGCTCTGTTCGTGACAGGGGAAGGCACCCCAACCCACTGACCAGCCCTGCTCTGTGCCTGATAGGGGGAGCTCCCCAATCCCCTGATTGCCCTGCGGCTCTGTGTGTGACAGGGTTCGGCGTCCCAATCCCCTGATGGGCCCTGCTCTGTGTGTGA